AAGTGTTTGTTTCTTAATAACTACTGTGTGACATCAAACATTGTGTCTTGCAGCGATTCTGTTGAAATTCAATTCTTCAATTTCTGAGTTTTACCACTCTTTTATTTTAGACAATACCATATATAGATAAATATCCCTGTAATTGCCTTTATATTGGGATGGGTCCTCTTACCTTCCGTGTTTCTTAATGTCCACTCGGCGCAATTTTCAAAACCATTAAAAATGTAAGATAGATTCCAAGTTCTGCGTTTCCCTTTTTAGAGAACGAATAAAGGGCCGATCATGCTAAAACTAGATAGTAACATATTTTCATAATGACTACTATTTTTCAAATACTGATATTAATAGAATCTATGGTATGGTTCATGCCGTTAAAAGGAAATCGCAGCGGAAAGGTTACATTATTTAGTTCCCGTGAGGCACTGCCGAAAAAGGACACAATGTAACCGCTTGACTGGAATTTCCTTGTCTCTGTGCAAACTACAACAGATTTTAAGCTTAGATTACTCTTCCATTTTTTGTGTTGCTTAACAAGTTTAACAGATACAACATTCATTAGTTATTTTATTATTTCAGTATTTTCTACAGGTAATTCTGTCTTTAATGAAAATCTAAATAAGTATAGAAGCAGATTCATGCTATAATTGTTGCTCATAACAAAGAAAATGAATTATAATTTGACAGTTATGTTTGCATGTCTGTATTGTACAAAGAGGGGACAGGGTCAGAGCTATCGTTGTGCAAACAAAGCGCATAAATACGAGTATGTTAGGGAAGGTAGTAGTGTGACCAGTAGATAATTACAAAATTATACGCCTGAGAAAATAAAAACACATACATTTGATAGTATTATGAATTAATGGATATCACTTGAAAATAACACGAAATACTAAATTTTGATAATGACGATAACTTCTAACGTTTGAAGAAAGCAGTTATTAAGATAGACGTCCTCTCGCTCGCAGGAGGACACCATGATCGAGACAACAAGCATATATAATGAAATGCAACGTTAGCGAACAGATGGATTTCTCTGACGCATGAGCGAAAAATTGTGAATTAATGCAAATTTATTTTTAATGATTTTCATTTCCTACGTTTATTAAATTTAGGTGTCAGAGAATATACATGTACATAGATAGGTATGATAAATGTGGTAAAATATAAAATCTCATTAACTCATAACTTTTATTATCATTTTTGATTACCGTAAAAAACTGATATATATATATATATATATATATATATATATAAAATCTTACGTTTGCAGTATATCATCAGTAAAATAAAAAATACTTTCTCAGGCACTTCTTGTCTTCTTTTCCCAATAAGGATATGAATAATTTTTTATGATTTATTGCAACATAGACACTAGCATATGCTATACATAAAAGAAACTAAAACCCAAAACCATTAAACACCAGGTTTTGTTAAAATGCTGGATATTATATAATCGGTGTTCGTTACATTTTGGTTAATGTGCAAGTGCTGACTAAATTGGTTTTTCAAAAATAAATGACAAATGTAAATTAAACAAGTCTCGGTGACTACTAAGTTTTTATGACATGGGCCGGGCAGTCTTCCACATTAGAAGGTCGGATAGGAAAACTGGGCGGGGTCCGTGCTTTTGGGACACACCCTCAGGTTAAAGCCAAAAATGTAGACACTAATATATATATATATATATATATATATATATATATATATATATATATATATATATATATATATATATATATATATATATATATATATATATATATATATATATATATATACACATCACTTGAAATTTGACCATCGTTACATTCTTGCGCACGTTTATTGGATACAATTGACACTTTCAACAAAATAAACACGCAAGCTTTTCCTCTGGTGCTGTTTAAAGGAAAGTCTTTAATACAAACTCACACGCACAGACGCACACTTTATTTACTTGTTCCATCCCTGCATTATATTCACTTTCTTAGATGGTTTATGGTCAATGTTATGCAGAGGGGCAAACAAAGAAATATGTGAAAGATTGTGTCCATTGTAATAAAACTGTCAAAAGACTGACCACGCAAACCAAACAAACAAGTATATGCCGTTCAAACAGCATATAACTCATTAAATTAATTGATCAAGTGTTTTTATCGGCACTACTTAAAAGCGGCATCTAGATACTTACAGAATAATTAGGCATTATGTTTGCAAAGAAAAGAATCCAATCTCAAGATAAAAGATTTGTCTGCAATGGCGAAGCGCTCCATCGAAACTGGCGGAACACTTGAAAACAAAAGGTACTTGAGTTGACTCTCGTGTCGTCCACAACTGCACTTAAGAAAACAAATTTGCTTTTTATTTTATCCTTTTGTAAACGCTGTAGGTCGATAACTAAATCCGCAACTGATTTATATAAAAGAGAAAAAGTATACGATCATATTTTGAATAATCTATCTATAGATAATATCAAGGGATAAGAAACATGCTTGCACGGTGTGTGTTGAGAGAAAGGTTAACACGCATAAAAGGTAAGAATTAGAAGTTGAAGATTTTAGATGAGAAATAAACAAATTAATAACTACCTTTTTGGATAATGAAATTAAAAATATCCCAACGAGTAAGGGGAACAGATGGGAGATAGTATAAGAATGGTTGCTGTTGTTCTGGGTCTTAACGCCATTTTTCAGCACACGACAGACTTTACATGGCGGCCAGTATTAATGGTGAAGGATGAAACCGGGAAATCCGCGGAAAGAACCACCGAGCAACGATCTGATACTGGCAAGCTTTCTCACATATCAACATTCACCGAATCTTAGACTAAAACCCACGCAGAGGTGATCCGTAACGGAGAGCGCCTTAGACCAATCGGCCACTGGGACAAACTTAAAGAGAAATTCAGAAATAACGCAAAATAGTTTGCAAATAGAAGGGTAGAAAAAAAGGAAAGAAAATAGAATAGCTAGAGAGAAATCTAAATAATTCTCAGATGAAAGAAATGCAAAGATAGATCAGAGATAAAATAATGAGATAAATGGGAGATAAAAGCATGGAAATTGTCCGGATTATACACACAGGAACAATACTTAAACAAACGAGAGGAATTTAGGAAGTATGGGAAAAAAAATAGAAAAACTTCTCTACGAAAACAGGATGTTACTAAAGGATAAAATTTGATATAATAAATAGGGTACAGGGATACTACAAAGACTTATATGCAACTCAAACTATTGACACACAAGTGACAAAAAATACCTAAATGAAGCTAAATGTAACAGACTTACATCATCACATAAGGACTTATGTGATGAATACATCAGCGGAGAAGAAAAAGAAAATACAATAATGAAACTAGCGAAAAGAACACCAGAAAGAGATGGACTTGAGGCGGAATTATATAAAAAATTCCAAAGAGAGTTAACGCCGATCTTAGAAAACCTGTATATTAATATTTTTCTTAAAAAAAAGACTATGGCAAAAACAATGAGTAAAGGGGTAATTACATTAATATATAAGGGTAAGGGAGAGAGGTAAGATTGAAAAAATCTGGAGGCCCTTCTCCCTCCTAAATATAGATTATACAATATTAAGTACAATCCTAGCGAATAGGATTAAAAAAGGAATGGATACAATAGCAAATATAAATCAGGCACGTGGAGCCAAGGTTAGAAATATACAAAGTAACATACTTAATATTAAAACTATTTTAGAAAATATACAGAGCTCTGTTAAAAAACGCCATGGTGCTAGTGGACCAAGAAAAGGCCTTGGATAGAATTGAACATAACTATGTGAAAACGTGTATTTAAAAAAAAAATTGTTTCTGGAGAAAACTTCCGGAAATGGACTGATATTCTGTACAGAGAAATTGAACAAGAGTACAGATAAATGGAGCGCTATCGAAAGAATTTAAAATCCAAAGGTCAATGAGGCAAGGATGCCCACTGTCAACGCTATTATACGCAATAGCGATAGAAATCTTGAGTACAAGGATAAGGACTAACCAAAACTTTGAAGGAACAAGGACTCCAAATCTCCAATACGAAAAGAAAACAAAATGCTTCAATAAGCAGATGACAGCACTAACTTTATAAAATACCAAAATCCTTTTAAGCATATAGAAACGGAATATGAATCATTTCGCAGAGCACCAGGTTAAAAAATAAACCACGATAAAAAGAAACATATTAAGGGTAGAGTAAAAGCTCTAGGGGTGTGTTTGGGTTGAAAGATAAAGAAGAAAACCAGAAAAATGTGATACGGATGATAAGAAGTAAAACGAAAATCTTGGCACAAACGCCGCTATGTATAACGGAGAGGGCGCAAGAAACCAAAACATACTTATATTCAAATATGAACTTTATGATAAAAGCCTTTGATTTTGAAAATACAATTCTAGAGAAAATAGACAATAAGTACATATGGCATTTTAAAATGCACTTCACTGAAAAAAACTACTATATAAAGTAAATAAAAGAGGGATTAGCATTGCCAATCCCAATTCTAATGAATTAAGCCAATATAATTAATCGTTTTAAAGAATTACATTCTAAACCATGAACTCCATGGGAAACACTTTATATATACTGGTTCGTAGTTTTAATTAGGAACAGGGGGATATTTATAAGAACAACGCATTGATAAAGAAATTAGTAGCCCCAAGAAAATTTAATTATATTAGGGACCTTTTAGACAAAGTCAGAGATGTTAAAGAAATATGGGAAATAGATAAGAGGAACACATACAACTGGATTAGGGAAACAGTCACAAGAATGTGGTGGTGGTGTTTATAATTTTTAACGTGGCTTTAACAATTTTTCAGTCATATCGTTACGATGTCTGCGGTGTGGCAGTTTATACTGATGTCTAGCACTGGGGCATCATGCAAGTTGTAGCATGATGTCCCACCAAGTCAAATTATCCTGACACCAGGCCGACCAGTCCTAACACTAACCTCTTAATGCTGAGCGTCAAGTGAGGCAGCTGTTAGTACCATTTTTTGTAAGTCTTTGGCATGACACGATCGAGGATAGAACCCACGACCTCCTGTATCCGAGGCGGACGCTCTAACCACTAAGCCACCGGAGCGGTTACACACCACACAAAAATGTAAGAAGTTGAAAATGAAAATAGGGGGGGGGGTAACTGGGAGGTAGCGTGGACTAATTGGATAAATATAAAATCATTGAAAATACAGATTATAATTTATAAATACCTGCACGATGTTTGATTTACTGGTGAAGCAGCAAAACGAAGACATGATAAAAAAATATACCTAAATGCCCAATGTGCAAAGGAGAAAGCTACACAAAAAATCATGTAATAACGAATGCAAGAAATATGAACAAGATCGGGTTAAGATAATTCGACAAATAAAAAAAACAAATATTTCTCAAAAATTGCTATTTAACTTGGAATCTTACAACCGAGAACAAAACGGTGAGAGAAATAATTAGATACATTGAGGATACAATGAAATTCTGTGGTCAGGTAATAGTGATTGAAAAAAAAATGTAAATTAAAAATCGACGTTAGAACTATAACCACTAACAATATAGAACAATATAGAACACAGGTCATCCAATAAATTTAAACCTCTAACAAATAACATTTAATTACTCTTGTCTTTTTGCGGGACAGAGAACCTACACACCACGGCTATGCCACAGGGCGCCACACGAAATGGACATGTCTGCGAACAGTCTGCGAAAGAGCTTCAGAAAAATCAGTGTGTAGCACATGGACATGCAGTACACATATACGGGGTGACCAGACTAACAACTAACCAAAACCTAATATAAAACATTTTTTTCTTCTTATTTTCCCTTTTTTTTCAAACCTCTAAATTATAGGTTATTCGGCTCTTCTTCAGTATTTCGTAATATAAAGGAATTGGACTGCATCTAAATGCAAGAGGTGATATAAAGAAACAAAGAAAATGTTACTCACTGTACTACGCACACCAGTATCCTCATCATGATAATAGCTACTATTATCATTTATTATCATATATATATATATATATATATATATATATATATATATATATATATATATACAGAGAGAGAGAGAGAGAGAGAGATGAATCAGAACAAAGACTAAATCAGGTAAAAACAAATGTCTTTTTATATTATTCATAGTGCACTGTCTCACTGACAATATAAGGAAAAGAATTCCAAATTGAAAATGACTTCAATTTTTTAAAATAAAAAAATGATCATAATTTGTACAGGGAATACAGTAGGAAAACTTAATAGATCTTTTGATTTGATACAACTGCTATCCTTACCAAACACTCTATAGCAAACACACAATATAGCATAACACATACACCATACAAAGGACCTAGGGAACTCTGGCAAAGGTCACACAAATTTGGAATAGGCTAGAGACTCCGAAAAGTAATTGAAACTTGTTGGATGAACGAACCTTTAGATACATTAGGGAAAAATTCCCCGTCAAAATTATCAAAAATATTTTTTAATTAAAATTTTCTTTTCAAAAATAGTACATTACATGGCACCTGGGGAAAACAGAAACACATAAATTAATTTTTCCTTTTTTTGACTAAGTAATGGGGTTGTAGCATCTGTCTGACTACCCAAAAAAGCATGAAAGGTATTAAGTCATCAAATCTTTTCCAAAATATTCAAATATACAGAGACTTTAACCCAGACAATTAGATAAAAGAAAATCTAAATGCATTCAATATAAAGTTGCATTCCAGCAAAATCAGATTCAAGCTTTACATGATTTCGAAAGTTGAGCACATTTTCGTACTTTATTTGTATTCGAGTTCGAAACTTAAGCAATTTTCGTACTTTGTTTGACATGTCTTAGACAACTGAGCATGTATTCGTAATACTTTTAACATGATTTCGAAAACTGAGCACATTTTCGTACTCATTCTACTTGATTTCGAAAACGGAGTATATTTTTTAAAGTTTTGTTTACATGATTTCAAAAACTGAGCACATGTTTGTAATTGTTTCATGATTTCGAAAAGTGAGCATATATTCTCACCTTTTTAACAGGATTTTGAAAACTAATCACGTGTTGATACTTTTTTTCTCAAAACATTTCATGATAATTTGTACGAAGCATTGAGCATATACGTGATAATTTACACATTTTTTTCTTCAACTGCCGATACATAACATTCAGAAATAAAATATCATAAGCAAATATTATTTGAGTAGCTGTTTTCGCATATTTCGTGGCTGCTATAAACCGTGAAATTGCAAACCAACCAAACAACGATTCTTCTACGCAAGATATGACCTTCTAATGTGTAATGCATTTAAGTACAAGTACTGATAAAAAACTTCTTTTTCTCGTATAAACAAAACAAAGGCTAGATAATTTCGAAAAAGATGAAATAAAAGTAACGTATTACTCCTGTTTACGACGAATCCATGTGCAAACCACAAATACCGAAGATTTTCGTATGCTTGGCATAAAATATTCAAACGCGATTACGGATATTTCACTAACAACAAATACATACATTTCTGGTAGTTTCTCATCTTTTTTACGTGTTGTGCGTCATTCGAGTTAAGGATGACCATGATTTCACAGACTGGTTTGGTTTCTGTGAGTGGCTGAGTGCTTGATGAGGATAATTTGTGCTCCAAACCACCTTTGGCACACTGGCCAGGCAACTCCTCAACAGAAGTCAATGCTAAGACTTTTTTCTAAGTACGTGATGAACGAGAGATACAGAGCGGGTTATTTTGAGATGAAGAACATGTAAAAATTTCCATGCAGAATATCACATATTAGCTTGCTGATTACCCGAAAAATAGAAACAAGTCAGACATTAACTCAAAAATATTACTGACATTTCGAAAAAAAGATATCAAGAAAAGTACTCATATATACGGTATGTCTGGACCAGGAAGTGTTGATATTCAGAGAGAAATTCCATCCATTATAATACATATGTATGTATGTATGTATGTATGTATGTATGTATGTATGTATGTATGTATGTATGTATGTATGTATGTATGTATGTATGTATGTATGTATGTATGTATGTATGTATGTATGTATGTATGTATGCTATGTATGTATGTATGTATGTATGTATGTATGTATGTATGTATGTATGTATGTATGTATGTATGTATGTATGTATGTATGTATGTATGTATGTATGTATGTATGTAATGGGTAATATTATTATGTATATATGTATGTAATGGGTAATATTATCAGACATTATAAACATTATAAAATCATATATATATATATATATATATATATATATATATATATATATATATATATATATATATATATATATATATATATATATATATATATATATTCAGTTTATTCCATATATAAATAATTTTTTTAATGTTTGATAGTATTAACCATTACATACATACATACATACATACATACATACATACATACATACATACATACATACATACATACATACATACATACATACATACATACATACATACATACATACATACATACATACATACATACATACATACATACATACATACATACACACATACATACATACATACATACATACATACATACATACATACATACATACATACATACATACATATGTCTGTATGCATAAAGGTGTTATCGCTCTAAAGAGTGAAAATTAGAACAACGATCAGATGGCTGTAAATCACTGACGCAACTTGTCTATGTTTTGTTTCTCTGATGTTCACTTCGTTCTTCTGTGACAGTATGAATTATGCATTAAACTTCACAGACGTTTCACTTTTTTGAAGACTAAAAGATAATAAATTTGGCGAAAACAGTACTAAAAACTACTTCATACAAAAGAGCCATTTTACTGTAATAATACCATATCAAGTGGTAACTTCTTTGTAGAACATTCATTCACCAGTCGTATCATATACTTCAGCTTAAAGAACAAGATAAGGTATGACCCCCAACTTAATACCCATCGCCAGTCTCCACCTCCATCAAACACTTAAATGGGTTACAATTATAGTGAGACCCTACTAGACAATGGGTCTACATTACATAAAGTTGTAAATCAGATTTTTGTAATTTCACTCGAACGTAAGCTGGGATAACAATGGCGACTTATTTCTAATATTGAATTTTCCTGCAAATCCTTTTACCCTAACTACAATGCAAATACACTGGTATATTGCCACATTGCTCGTAGAAGAGCCTAATTTTGTAAATATTTCCTGATAAAATTCATCCAACGGGGAGAAGAGGTAGCACAAACCGTTCTATTTATTCATTCATAATTATAATAATGCTGTGATTTAACATAGGTAAAACTTCCAGACGTATTTGTTTGGTTTCCAATGCATAACGTGTGCACAGAAGCTAATGGCGACTTCTTTAACAATTTAGAAGATTGTTCCGCATGCAAAGTCGGACTTGTCTACATTGCAAGGATAATTCGGATATAATGAATGTGAGGGATAGTAAGTAATCAGGAAAAAAACCCATCCACCATTCCACGTCTACTGTGTCTTTGTTCGGTATAAACATTCACGTATTTTGTATTATCATATTAAGCAGATTCCCTTTTGATAAGCTCTTTCATGCATCAACATATTAACCTTCAGACCAAACCTATAGTGCTTTGGAAATTTCAGATAAATAATAAATTAATTTTACGTTATCCTTTAGAATGGACACGATATAATACTACTTTAAAACTGGATAAGATGGGCAAATTATTTTAAAAATATTTAATAAACTTCTTTGAATCTATAGTTTAAATATTTTCTTTTTTTTCTTTTTCTCTATTAATTATCATGCTTAGAAAAATAGTTATATCGGGCTGCTATACTATAGTATAAAGACACATTGTAAATTTGACTTGGCTGAACTTCGTATATCTTTTGAAATATATCCAACCTACCAAAAAAATCTTGATGTGTAAGCTTAGACATTTCACTGTAATTTTACATTCAACATTTAAGAAATTCTTCGTTATAGATATCTTTTGTTAGGTTTTTTACCTTCCCGCACATGGAAAGTTAACCTAGTTTTCGGTTTACTCAAGTGGCATGAATGTTTTATTTTCCAAGCGTATTGGGATAGCAAATTACAAT